AAGGAATTTTATGCGATTCAGCATTCAGTTGTGACTGTCAGCGATCTCATACTTCTAGTAACAGCAAGGTTGGATTGATTTTTTTGTTTTATGTTTTTTTTTTGTTTCGTTTGTTAACTTCTGGAGAATAATCCAAAAGTGTGCAGGTAAGTCCATCAGTAAGGTAAATTAGCCCAAACGAACTCTTCACATAAAAGGAAATAATGACAACAGCAACACCTTAAAAAAAAACGAAAACAAAAAAAAGAACAAAACTGCAAAAGAAGCAACTCTCAACCTCTCTTCTTTGTAGCTGAAGCTATATGTAAACATAGGAAAAGCCTTCATTTTCTTCAATGCTCTTAACTTGTCTTCGCGCGCGCGTAAAATTATGCACGCAACGCAATAACACGTAATTTCAATTCATGATGAGCAGTGCATTGTTTCATCATTTGAAGTCTGGCGACTACGGAAAATATGGTGCCAATAGAGACCCCGAGACAATCCGACATTTGGCTTAAAGGACAGCCTTCGTCACATCGTAATCATTTTTGTTAAAGTAGCATAGATCCACGCAGATTCTTGGAGCCTAAACGACAGAAATTACAGTCACTAGAGGCTGAGAGAATTATGACTGTTCTTCGAGACACAGTTAGGCGAATGGAAATCACCACGGCTCCCGCTATATACTAACTTCGTTGACGTAATTTTCCGTTATTTTCGGCCAGGATTTGACATCGCATTTAATCAGACATTCGCACTTGCAACATGCTTACAAAGGGACGCTTGCCGCGTTGGAGGGAAGTTCAAGCCAGAATGTCGAGCTTGAATCTCGTAAAGAAGGAGATGCCAGGAAAGAGGCTGGATCAGGCAAAGTACAATTAAGTAATAACCCCACTGTTAGCATTACTTCTTCGAATGCAAATCAGTTAAGAGATGATCTTAAGAAATAAGTGTAATTTCTGGAAAAAGGAATTAAATGCTCATCGAGAGAAATACTCAGGTTTTTTAAAAAGAATCCGAAAGCGATCGCAATAGTCACAGGTGAGAAAAGGATGTAAATAATGGTGCTAGTTATTGGTGATTTCACAAGATGTGTGTTTTCTTTCTCTTGCCACCTAGAGTAGCGTATTAAAGCCATTAAATTTTTCATTTCTACATTCTAATCTCCCCCTGAAACTTGTTAATAAAAAATCCTTTGAGTTACTTTTGTTTTCTCTATGTGTCTCTTACTCACTGCCTTGTGTCTCTGTAAAGTCACAAACGTTTAATTTTTTGCAGGCGGATAAACCTCTATGTTTTTTCCTTGAAACATTAATTTTTACTCACTTATTTTCTTGTAAACAGAGAGCAAACCAGTCCGCAGTCAAGAACATACAGCTCTATTGAACAAGCTGACATCAGTAGAAAGTATCATGAAAGAGAGGCTATTGACATTACCATTCGAAGAACAAGAGATGAAATCAAAGTTAACGGATATTATTGACAGAGAATAGAAAACAACCGCATTACGAGAAAAACTTGAAATAAAATACCAGGCAGCTGTGGAAGCAAAGCAGTCTGAGGTAAATTCACGGTTATGTGATACTGAGTGTAAGCCCATTGAAGCAGAAATAATAATAATAATGATAATAACAAAAAACGAAAAATGAAAGTTGTTTAATGTATCTAGTTTAATCTACGAAAATAATCTTCCCCAAGTTCCGAAGACCAGTTAAATGATATTGCAATACTTTGCACCGTAGTGAACGCTTGGCGAGATAGAACGCATATCAGTATTATGAGTCATTTTGTCTTATGCGGCTCCTGGCATACACCGCGATGATCTGTGATCGTCGAGCAATATCGAAAGAGTCCTGAGTGGTGATTAAGATAACATGGTGGCGAATCTTATCTCGGTCCTGAAAATAGTGAAAATGTAAAATTTGTGCCACGATCAAGGAGTCGATTAAAAGTCTCAGCCCCCCTTAAGATTCGAGGCTAGCGACTTCACTAATTGGATGCTCTGAGTTCCTCGGAAGTCTCGCATATCGTCAGGATCAGCGACGTCAACGTGTAAAGAGCAAGACTTATGAGTTCTTACCCCTCTTTGAATTCCTACGGTAAATACAAAGTTTATAAACTCTTTCAGATTTCTGAACGAGATACAAGAATTCTGTGGCTTCGGCTAGACTTGCAACTGATCGAGAAAAAAATGTTCCTAGGAAAGCGAAGCGTCAAAGACTAAAATAGCAAATTATTATGAAAAATAATAACGTAAAAAGGAGGCATTATTTTAAATCACCTATGCATCTATATGTTTTTTTCTATGCAATGATGAGCTAGGATCACCTTTTTGAAGATAATCTGTGTAAATTAATAAAAAGTGAATAAGTCACACCTGTGATTTCCATATAAAAAAAATGTATTTAAGAAAAAAGAGATAATAAACCAGCAACTAAAATTAAAACAAGGATACACCGTTGTGATTATGAGTTTATCATCGCTAAGGGACAGTACTTCAAAGTACAAAACAGATGTAATCTGTTCGGAGCCCCGAGGCTACGTTAAATTGTGCTGGTTGACTATTCTAAAAATTAAAAAAATTGACTCACATCTACATTTCAAAGTACATGCATAGCTATAACCAACTTAGAGCGGAAGCTCAGTAGATTTGAATTAAACCAAAAAATCACAAGGAAAAGTTATCATATAAGCGTTTACTCGAATAGCCAAACTTTCATTGAATGCCAGTATTCTACACCATCCCCCAGCGCATCCATTCCTGAAGTGATGAACTTGTTATTTCTCCCCATAATGGCAGGGTAAACAGGTGGCTTACGCCTGAAGTCTATCCACGTTTAATAGGTGACAAAATCTTCGATCTTCGATTTTGCACTTTCATGGCAACGTCTTCCACTTGTGTTGAACGTAAAGTTAACTCATACCCAAATAGCTTCCTTTTTGTTTTGCTCTTCGAAGTAAGCGACATTAATGTATGTTCTCTGGAAAAGTAAAGATGACACAGACTTTCTGAAATGCATGATTTAAAAATTCCTCCGACTGATCAGACTTGTTTTTTCCTCATCCTCGATAGACAAGGCCTGGAATGAGGGGATAATGCCTTTCCTATGATATCAAAGGAAACTCCTACTGCCCAAATTGAATGTTAAAACACATTCTGTAGCTTAACTGTTGACAAAAATGGGAAATCGACTGTAGGTTAACCAAAAATTTAGAAGCAACACTCTACCTTGTTAGTTTGCTCCATTCCTTCGAGGAACCTCAGAAAAATTTTGCTCATTATTGTATGTTTCCTCTCTTATTATTCGAAATGGAAACAAAATAGCGATGAAATTCAAAAAACGGGAAGAAGAACATCAATATCAACTAAGCTTTACGGGCCCACTCACAGTCTCGTGCTGTAAAAGTTCCTCCAGCATCTCACAAAGCTGTTCAAATAATGGACGCTCGTCAGGGTTCCTCTGCCAACAGCCTAACATAATGTTATAACTAAAACGTAACACAGTAAACACTGTATCAACCTAATGGCTTAAAGCTCAAACGGTTCTTTATTTTTATTGTACCAAACTTAGACCCCAAAAAATAAAACCTTGCTTCTATAATCTACAGTTGCAACAGCAGTTTTCAGTAAAGTACGCTTGATCGTGTGGTTGCATTGAAAGACTGAAATAAAGCATTTGCCGACAGTCAAATTTTTCAGCATTGTTTATCGTCATCTTGATATATATGGTCTTCATTAAAATAATCAAAAATAGGGATTTTTATCTTCATTTCCACAAATGAATGATAAAGACACTGAGGAGTAATGCAGGATAAAATTTGTGCGTGGATTAGTCACCTGAAGGGAAAAAAAAGGTGATTGGTGAAAAAGAAACCTCTGAAATAAAAGCACATGATGACCTATCACGTCAAGACAAGATGCAGAATGAGAGAAGTAACTGATATCGTCTGACAAATATACTTCGAGGCTTAATGTCTCGGACTTACAGCTCATCCGAACAATGCAGTGGTTTTGGCAATCTTGCTCCACCCTCCAGTAATTCGTAAAGCTCTAAAATGCCTTTGATACCCGTGTACGGTAGTTCCCCTAGAAACAGAAGGATCAAATGTAGTTCGGTGGTAATACCCTCCATCTCATAAGATGACAAAGGTCTATCAGTGTTAGTTAGAACCCTTCAACTAAGGATTTATGTGCAATGAAAACATTTGCTAAAATCAGAAGAAGATCCTCTTATGCCTTGTAACGTCATGGTCAACCTTTAGTAAATCTACTGGGCAATCCTTTTGATGCAACTTGGATGCTAGAAAATTTTATCAGAGTATCTTGATAATTCTATTTCGATTTTCTTTGCCACTCGCATCATTGATCGATGGCATTAAATTAGGGTCCCAATTTCTTACCTATTTTAGCCTGAACGCAAACCTTCATTATCAACACTTTCCATGCCGTCAGGAAAGTTAGAGACCTTGAGAAACGCAAGTCGGCGAGAGGTCTTCAAAGTGTCTAGCACTGATGCCATGCCCGGTAAACCTCTCCCTGACTCGTCTCAAGTCTTCTCGCGGGCGGAGAAAGGCACGCTCTGCGGCACAAATGATGACGGCCTGCTCGCCGGCTACACCATTTTAGAAAATTGGGATTGTGGGAGGAATGGGTGTGTCTAGCTTTTTTTTCTTCCAGGTTAAGATCTCAATCATTCAGTTTTAAACATAATTTTATCAATAGGGTTTTTACTTACCAAGAGTAACAATCTCCCACAGGGTTACTCCAAATGACCACCTATAGAGGAGTGTAGTATAAAAATAAGGCTTGGAAATTGTGAAGTCTCTATAGTAATCCAATTTCAGCCTGGGAATACCGATAACTTACACGTCTCCCTTTATTGTACAAGTTCCCCTTAATGCTTCCATAGACATCCAAAGCCATGGAACTCGTCCCTATGATAAAGTTTCAGATATTAGTCAACGAATGCTTAGTTGATGATTATATAGATATATGAAATTCATATATTTGCACTGCAGTGAAGAAACGAAATTAAGAGATCCTCGCAGCTAAGAATACTACTGAAACGAGTAGTTGAAAAGAGGACCTGAAAAAATTCAGGCCCGTACTGTGAAGAAACTAAATTAAGAAACGAAATTAAGAGATCTTCGTGTCTAAAATCATTATTCATCGCTTGGATGGTTTATTTGGACCAAACACATTGACCAGCTCCCAGTTGGCTTTTTAGCTCAGTTGGTAGAGCGCTGCACCGATATCACAGAGATCATGGGTTCAAATCCCGTACGAGTCTGAATTTTTTTCAGGTCCTATTTTCAACTACTCGTTTCAGTAGTGTTCTTAGCTGCGAGGATCTCTTAATCTCGTTTCCTCACCGCAGTGCAAATATATGAATTTCATATATCTAAAATCATCATTCATCACTTGGATGGTTTATTTGGACCCAACACATTGACCAGCTCCCAGTTGGCTTGTTAGCTCAGTTGGCAGAGCACTGTACCGGTATCGCAGAGGTCATGGGTCCAAATCCCGTACGGGTCTGAATTTTTTTCAGGTCCTATTTTCCACCACTCGTTTCAGTAGTGTGCTTAGCTGCGAGGATCTCTTAATTTTGAATGCTTAGTTCTTACAAGAAATTGCTAATTACATACAATTTTATTGATCGCGAGGAGTGTTGTCACGAGCACAAACTAGCGGTTTAGCAACCCCCGGTAAAACTCAGCACCAGAGTCAAATAAAAAGTTTATTATAATCTTATTGTCGCGAGTCTGATTTGTGAGAACAGAGTCCCAGCTCAGTCTGATTCCCAGCTCAGTTTCGCCGTAATGGTAATATCTAAGGTTGTAATACTGTAACCACTTGACTTTCCTTCGTTTGACTGTTCAGAGAAGATTCATCAATGTGGTGAAGTCTTTCTGTGAGGTTCGTCGG